AACTCGAATGGTACATTCATCATTCTATTATTTGCCAAATCCAAAGTGGCTCCGATAAAAACATTAACTCTTCCTCGCTTGAAACTTTGTGGTGCTCTAGTTTTATCCAAGCTAACAGAAAAGGTTCTATATTCTTTAAATCTAAATGTAACTCGTTGTGTCCTATGGACCGAATCTATTATTATTCTAAGTTGGATACGTACTAGTTCACATCTTCTAAAAACCTTTGTAGTCGAGTAGCGAAAATTCAAAACCTAACTTCTAATTTCGAGTGGCGATATGTTTCTACCAAAGACAATCCTGCAGACCTTCTCTCGCGTGGAGTCTATCTAGGTCAAATTGCCAGAATTTCGAGACAAACCAGTAATGTCTTTCACTATAAGCATTCAAGATTCGTCTTTATCTGAGCGATATCCAAATTTAAATTTACTGTTTCGATTAGTAGCTTACATACTTCGTTTCAAAAATAATTGCTTTAAACTAAAAACAGAGCGTTGTTAAGGTTGATTAAAATATCCCAAATTCAAAGCTTTGCCACTGAATATAATGCTTTATTAAACGGAAAAGACATGCACACGAAAAGTAAAATTCTAAGTTTAAGTCCATTTATGGACGAAGACTAAATCATAAGAGTCGGTGGTAGATTAGATCGTTCAAATTTTAAATATGACAGGAAACATCCAGTTCTACTTTCCACAAAGCACAGACTGACCACATTAATTTTCGAAACAGAACATTTGCTTCTGCTATATGCAAGTCCCCAACTGCTTCTAATTTCAATCCGCGAAAAATTTTGGCCTGCAGCAGGACGAAATCTTGCAAAGCAAACCGTTCGAAAATGCAAAAAATGTTTTCGCGCTAAGCCACAAAATATCCAAATAATTTACCAAGTATCCGATTTTTAATTGACACACCATTTTATGTGGTAGGCACGGATTATGCGGGTCCATTTTTAATTATAAGTCACAAAGGTCGTTCTTTTAAATTATCAAAAGGCTACATTTGTTTATTCATTTGTTTCGCGACCAAAGCTATCCATTTGGAACTTGTGTCAGATTTGACCAGTGATGCGTTTATCCTAGCCTTAAGGCGATTTGTGTCTCGTCGTGGTAAACCGTCAATTATCTACTCAGACAATGGTACAAACTATGGAGGTGCTAAAAATGATCTCAAGGCATCAGGAAATTTTCTAGTATCTCAAGGTAATTCTCCCGAAGATTCTATTTCTCGCGAAGGTATTGAGTGGCGATTCATACCACCCAATTCACCGCACTTCCGACGCCTTTGGGAGGCTGGGATTAAAAGCACCAAACCTCATTTGAAACGGGTTATGGGAAACGCAAGCTTAACATTCGAAGAATTTTATTCGTTGTTAGTGGAACCTATTCTAAATTCCAGACCATTTTCACCTCTATCGTTCGACCCTAATGACTTCACTCCATTAACTCCCGCACACTTTCTTGTGGGAAAAACGTTAACTGCCGTCCCAGATGGAAATCTTCAGCAAATGCCAGAAAATCGGCTATCCAAATATCAAAAGCTTCAACAAATCCAGGAACATTTTTGGACTAGATGGAGCAAGGAGTATATATCCGAACTTCAGCAACGAAATCGATGGAAAACTAGTTCCACTGAACTTAAGGAGGGTGCTCTGGTACTTATCGAAGAAGATAACATGCCACCTCTCCAGTGGAAATTAGGCAGAGTTTTATCACTGCATCCCGGGCGGGACAATCAATCCAGAGTGGCGACAATCCGCACCTCGCGTAAGACCATCAAGAGGGCTTTCACAAAAATTTGTCCTCTACCCATGGAGGAAGATACTTCATGCAATGTGTAGTGTGTGAATCAAAGCAGAGTTAGTGCTTCTCGGAGAGTATTGTTCAATTTTCTTTTATTTTAACTAACCCAGTTAGTTCAAGGCGGGGGCATGTTAAGGACTTAGAAAACAAATTGTTTTCTTGTTATAGCTGTGGCAATAATGTATAACTTATATATATTGTAAAGCTGGCACCGCTGCCTATGCCTTAAAGCGGCTAGCAAGTCACAACCCTTTTAGTACTGTTTGACACGCAGTAGCGAATGTATCGCCCGTGCCAAACTCCAAATAAAAAAGCGAGTTTAAAATGTAACAAGTGGTTTTAGTACTCCGCAGAAAACACTCTGTCTGTCGAAAAAAAGAATTCCAGTGTATTCACTGGAAATGGTTTTGGTGTAATGATTGCAATAAGGAAGATTTTTCAAAATTTAGTCCTAATTTCTCAGTGAAAATCGACAGTAATACGTTTTGAATGTGACTTTGAATAGAATTGAATATGAGGGGAATTGGACCAATGAGAAAGAAAAGAAACTGTATGAAAAGACTACCATCAGATAATTTTACTTACAAAAAACAAATAACTGTCTTAGACAAAATAATGTTTGAAATGTGAAATGATGATTTAATTTCATCCATGGGTAAGAAGAAATTGTGGTAAACTTTCAACAAAATGAATTTTCGTTGCGAAATCTCAAAACAGAAAATCACTTTTAATAGAATCAGCTCATGATATTTGAAAGCAGCTACGCAATTTCGAAGGAAAAACCGGAATATCTATTATCTGAAGGAAACCTGTGTAAACTATGGCCGAACTTGAAAAAATAAAAATTTAAAAATCGCGAGGCAAGGTTGATCAAAACGGACTGGCAACTGAAGACTAGTTACAGCAAATGCTGAATCTTATTTCTCCTGAGTCGGATGGCTACCACTCAAGAAAATCCGAAACAACACACATTTGAAGAAGAAGAAGCTCATGGAGATTGTAAGTTTGTATGCAATTTTGCTGTGAATTAAATCCCATAATATTAGTATGGGCGCAAGTAAAAGGGTTTTTAGCAAGCAGAACTTTGTGAACAATGGTTCAGAATTCTCTTCTCTCTAACATTCCTGAGAATAACGTTAACTGCAACTACGCATGGACCCACTGTCAAATAATAAAAATTTGTGAATTCAAAACTAGTTAAAAGAGGTATAAAAATGGGAGCTTTTAGAAGTTTGAAAACCATTTAGTAAAAAAAATTATGTTATGTTTATGATATTATTGTGTCCTCAATCCTGCGACACCAACTAAAATTAAGCATTAGGTCATTCGTCTCCTACGTTAAGTGCTAGTGTTATAGGATTAATGTTCGTTTAACTACGCTAATACTGTAGAAAATTATTATCATATTGTTAAACCCAATGCACTTAATTAAAGTGAAGATTGGTCATCTAGAGCATGGTTAACGCCAAACTCTTCTTTGGGGACCAGTACATTAAATTCATTAAGTAATACATAACCATATCCCAAGAAGCCATTAGAGATTACTGGAAATGTCGTCAGAACAACCGCTGGAGAGCGAAAGATCTAATGCAAATTTTGAATATTTTGGTCAGAGCCACAAGACCATCCAGGACCAGTAACGGAACTCATGCAAAAGGCTCTCGATCGAACTAGCGAACGGTGTGGACAATGAGACTTGTGGATAAATCCGACAAAAATGAGCTACTTCTGTTCACATACAAAAAATGAATGATGGTGAAAACGGCTCTGTAGTGAAGTATCGGGGCTGACTCGAAACCACAAGCATTCATGGATGGATCACTTGAATGAAATCGGAAGGCATCTTTGTGGAACTATCGTCGTCTTTGGGGACATAACTGTTTATTAAAAGCCACAAATGACTTCGTCGGTGATCATTTCTTGAAGAAAGAATGTCAAAAAACTTAAGAACTGCGATAACCCGCATATGTGAGCAAAATGGAAATAGAAAATAGATTTCAGACCATGTCCTCACAGATATTATTAGAACTAAGAGCGAAGTGGTCTAAGGACATGATCTGTAGCAAAATTAACTGTAGCCCACACTTCGCAAGTATAACAAACTGTCCTAAAACGAAAATAATCAATGCTGAGTAACAAATTTCTAATAATACAAGTTCGCAATCACAAGATAAAACTGATGCAATGAGATCTTCCCAACTGATATGTAAGAAAATTATCAGCCTTTATGATTGTGCATTAAAAAGTGGCGCCAAAAATTTTATTTTTAAATAATGGATAGTAAATACATCGACACCAATTACTATCACTGTATTGATTGATTGATCGATAATTCTGTTGAACTACTTTGTTCAAAGTGTTTTCTAATCGGATAAATTGCGTAGTAGGAACATTGGTTACCTTGTGTTTCTGTCTGTATAATTGGAACAGACTAGTAAACAAGTTTAACGTAAGTCAAAACATAACTAGGTGTGAAATTGAAACCGGTTCAGACAGTGAAATATTAAGGGATGACTGTAAACTCCAAGCTTTCCTAGACGGTTCACGTTAATTAAATAAGCCGTCATCTCTGTAAATGTGTTGTCGCCTCTCGGACACAACTGGGGAATGAAGGCAGAAATTCGACCACTCATTCCTACGCTGCCTTGGTATGGTGGCGATGAGAGACACAACATCAGGGCAGGGCAGCTCTAGCGCGAGTGCTGCATAATGGTGACCGGCTCTCTGAAAACCACGCCAACGAAAGGCTCTGTTCCCGGAGACCTTACCGGGAATGAGGAAGTCGAGGGTTCTAATTGCGGAACCCTCTACGCCTCAGCTCTCAGTCTCAGTCGCGCACGACTACAAACGCTTTGAGAAATCTTAGCAAGTCCTCGAGCATTAGAGTGGGCGATGAGAGCATATGTAGGCTGAGTTTGGAAAGTAGAGGAAACTTCTAACCAGCTGCGCAAATGATTAAAAGTACTAGGGGCTTAAATCATTGAGCCCGGGGAACTATCTACACTCTCCATGAATGAAGTACTGTACTTCAGCGAGAGTACAGAGCTCTTCTGGCCATAAAGGACAAAAACGCACCACAAATAGAATAGGAGTAGTAAATAGAATCATATTATCTAATTATAAATAAAGGGAACAAAATATATACTAATAAATATACAAGTTTATTTAAGCTTAAATAAATATTTAATCACTAACTCACTAATATATGTCTACTTCAAGTTGAATGCAAACCTGGCCCCACCTGAAGTCGTTATCCCTATAAGTTGTATTAATGAGTAGAACGGCTGGTCTCTAAAACAAAAACAACAGCAACTGGACAAGGGAATATTGAAAACTTAAATATGCCAACATTTTTTTGGATTTTGAAAGACCATACAACATAAGATACCACTGATCTCCGAAAGAAATGACTAAAGCGTCCAAGAGAAAATGATGGAATTTATTTCTAAATTTATATTGAATTTCAATCCCGTTTTTTTGAGAAACAAGTTTAGGATTCTTTTTCGTATAATAGTTTTTGCTATACTTCTTATAAATATTTATATTACAAATATAAATAAATAAGTGGCAATAACTTCAGAACGACTGAATGCTAGGGGTCGTCTTGCAGCATAACTACCAATAAAATTTATTTTCTGCAAAAAAATAAATACAACGATATTATTTTGACTGCAATAAAAGATAGCCAAATAAAGAACTAACAAAAACAGCATTTCGATATCTCTTTACTAACCTATGCCAGTAACAGGAATAAAAACAAAACGTCATAATCATTCGGAATATTTTCGGAATACTAATATTCGTTCGTTTAGCAAAAGATCTCTTTTAAACAAGTCCAAGTTTGACTAAATTTCTCACCAAACGGGATTTAAAATTCAAGAAATCAATTGCATAATTTTCCAGCATTTTCTCTTGGCCAATTTAGTCATAAGTATTTTTATCCCAAGGTTTATGACAATTGCCAAAACTAACGAAAACTAATCATTCGGTACATTGTATTAGGTATCGTTATTGTTTATTAAATATTACACAAAAAATATATCTTAATAAATATAACTTAAAATGCAAAGATCATAATATTCTTCGTCATCTTTTCTTGGAATTACAGTTTTGGTATCTTAACCAATTACTTTTACGGGTGGAGCTGAAATTTTCTTGGGAGGATCCACTTAAACTGCTGCTTTGAAATGTGAACTTGAGAAATTTTGCCTCTTTTGGACCGCCTTTGTAATTCGGTATTGAAAAATCGTGAAATAATTTATGTTTTCGTGGATGTGCATGACGCCATTTTATTTCTAATCTTGTAATACTGTGGCGCAACTGTATGTTTAAAGAAAAAGGAATAATGATATTATTGCACACAATTTACCCACACGAAACTGAGTGGAACTGTACAGAATTTCCTATTTTCTTACTCTACGCTTTATAGAAATAGGCTGTAGCACTAGCAGTTTTAATTGCTTAATATTTTTATGTGCATTTTCCAAAGTTGCTTAGTGGGAAACAGGCTTAACAGAGTAACTAGAAAGTCGGCAAAATTTATTTGATACCAGGTAATAATTAATTATTTTTAATGGATTTGTAATAAGAGAAGTATTATATAAGTGACAAATATGAAATAGTGTTAATATAATCCTTTGGTACGATACATACGTCTCGGAGCATATGTTTCTCAATAAATTAGGACACTATTACCAGTATTAAATTACTTCCGAAGTGGATCACTACGTCGAAGAGGCCGCTATCCCTAAACGGTGTCGAATGCTTGGGTTCGTTAGCCTCCGCGTTTGGCACAACTGCCAGATCATAGAACTTTTGCCCGAATATTTTCACATATGCGTCGATGTAAAAGTAACTGATAGTTGGAACTAGTAGAAACAAACACATAGAAAAGAAGCGTCCAGTTTTGTTAATTAAAAACCTTTTTTTCTTTAATCAAGATTTGAAAGTCAAAACTTTTAGAACTTATGTGCATGTTCTCTTTAAAAGTTTCATAAATATTATAATAAAATAATAATAAAAACTCTGTTAGTAAATGTCGTTGACAACTAACGAAATTATTTTATTTTATTTTAAGTTCCTTGAAAATAACTAAACTTTAAATAGGCGATCGAGTGCTACTTACATTTGCTGGTAATGATCTTTACTCTCGATGAAGTACCTGCAAATACTTGGCACGGCGCAAATCTGCACCTATCGAAATATACTTCTTTAACAGCTATGTCAGATCCTGAAACAAGAAAATAAAATGATCTGAACATATTACAGTTTGGTGTCAATAAAAATCAAATTAAATGTTTTACAAAATGTGTATTATAATTTAGTAATTAGAATTATTCTTATTTTTTTGGATCCATTCTTTTTTCATTAGTAAAGACCATTTTTAATGAAAAGATAAATGATCCATGAGCTACCAAATGAATTATTTTTTACGACTTTTGGCAAGAGAGGAAATGAATATAATAAATTAACGACTAACTGAAGAAGTTGCATCTTTTTCTACGATCATCCCTGGTTGGGTACATTTTTGCAAAACAGCAAGAATACATTCGCTGAGTGACGTTTGACGCGACGTGAAAGGCAATCTTTAAAACCCCATATCTACCGAAAATACCCGATCGCTACCAAATCCATAACCGCAAAAATCCGAAATGAGTCGCAACCCTGATTGATCCGTGCATAATTTTTTTTATAAATATGTTGCCCATTGTTCCTCCGATGCTCCATGAGTACCTGGCTTAGATAAATCCCATACGCCAGCAAGGGTTTTTATGTAAAGGAGTGCGAGAGTATTTTATACGGGGCGGTTCGATGACTTTCGTTGACTAATTACACAAACGGGCTGACGTGTATTTCTTTATTCGTAAATAAAACGTTTATATTAAAAAGTGACTAGTTTTAATTGGTTCACAACAGTTACGGACTGAACACAGAAAAGTGATCAACTAGAATATATTCATAGTTGGAATGAATATAAAAAATACACATTTATGCAACAAAAATTGAGAGGGTCAGCGCGAAACTGATTTAACAGGATGGACGGCTACCGAAAATTGTGGGATGAGTGTAAAACCGTTTTAAAGAGCGGATTTTCTAGATGCACCGATTATGCTATGTATTAGAAGAGTTAGTTGTGCAAATAAAGAAGCCAGGTGAGACAATGGCGCCATATTACTAAGATAAATTGGCACTTATACAACAGAAGAGATAAGGCGAAGACGCAGCAATTTCCAGTCTTATTACAAAATTACCTTTAGAACTGCCGGTAAAAGCTAGAGCTCTTCAGTTTTCAACAACTAGTCAACTGTATACCGGATTTGTCGCCCCTCTCGAAAATTATCAAAGTCCTCAAGACGAAATAAAAACCAAACGACTTAAGATCGACGTTGGTGCACGTCAGAACCGCGAGTGTTTTAACTGTTTAAAAGTGTAGGAAAAGATTGCCCATTCAAAGGAACTATCAGATGTTGCTATTGCAATCGTTTCCTCTACCAAATCATCTTAATTAATTAATAATTATAAAAGAAGGTTACGTAAATGTTCAGTTAAGTTAGTTCACAAGTCTATTGTTGAGAAACTTTAGGTCCCAATGTTTCCCGTGTCGAACTCGTTAAAATGTTTCGCAGGAAGTGTAATATCGGTCTATGACGAGACTAAGTTTACGCTGAAGATCGACAAATTCCAGATAGAAACTTCGACTTTGCTGACTATTGCAAACAGACAATTTTGGGTTAATTATTGGTGATCAACGCCGAGGGAGGGTGACTTTTTATTTCTTCCAGGCACGTCATGCCCATAAGCGTATTATTCTAATTTCCAATTTGGGCGATAAAGAAGGAAACAAAGCTAATTGGCAGACGCTGGGAGAGGGTGTACTAACTCCATGACGTTGGAAAGTTACAGGGTGAACTTAATTGAACGCGGTTATTTGGGACCATCTGATTTAAATGAAATCGATAATAATACAGAATTGGATTTAGAATCTAAATTCAACATCGTGAAACTGCTAAATAAATGGCGGAATTGTTAGGTGTTAGGAACTGTTAAGGATTGTATATTGGAAATTAAATTAAAAGAGGAATCAAACCCGTTTGCTATCGACCTTGCGAAAAAGAGAATTTTTGAGAGACAAGGCAGACGACTAGAGTTTGTGGTGGTGAATGCCCTTGCAGTGTTATAGTTACACAATGATCAAAGTCTTTCTCGGAGATAGGAGAAGTTAAGAAGTATTGCGCATATGAGAGATAAGAATTTCAGTACGTTGGTTGTTGTCAGCTTCCTTAGATCGTATGCCCTGTGAGGAAAGAAAGACAAAAAAGAAGTGTTACTTTCGTTCCTAGTTGGACAAGACGACTGTAAGATGTACCTGTGAAATAGATTAAAAATTGCTTCCCGGAGGGGAGCGATATTGGGACAGCTGATAATGGACCTATTCCTACATATATCTTTAGTTTATCTTGTTTTGATACGCTCACCAAATTAAAAAAATAAATAAATAAACAAGTAAATAAAAGGGAAGAAATTTGCCTCTATGCTGATATTATTTCTGCTGTTTAGGTTCTGGTGTTGCCCATTATTCCTCCGATGCTGTTACGTGAGCACTGTAGGAGTAGTGGCGAGAGTATTTCATATTGGTCGCTTCGACAACATTCATTGTCTAATTATGGTGGCGGGTTGGCGTGTATTTTTTTTTTTCGAAAATAAAACATTTATTGGTTGTAAAGTTTTAATTGCTAGTTTAACACATATTAACAAATATTTCGAGTCATAATATAGCTATTAGATAATATAGGGACCGTAAATAGGCGGCTATGACATTTTCGTACACCAGGCAGTGTGATCTTTTACGCATTTTCACAAAATAATATAATATCAGCGTCCGTATTGAATATTAAATGCCGCAAAGTCTAATTGAATATTTCAACATTCAAAAGTGCCTGGTTTTATTAGCATTTTTTATTAATAGAAACCAGGAGAGAATTTTTGGAATATGAGCACACGCTATCATTTCAAATCTAGCTTTCAATCAATAAGACCTAACGGCGTTTGCCAATTTGACAGTTTTTATTTTCAATGTGGCATTTTGGGGAAGTATTTTCTCAAAGTACAACCAGATCCAGTTGAATATTTAGGGACAAATAAGTTAAGTTTGCGAAAATCGTCGTTTTGAAGGAAAGTGGAGCAAAATCTTCTTCTTCTTCCAGTGCCATCCCCTAACCACTTTTCAAAATGCGTCTTTGTCTCTTTCAACGTGAAACAGCTCTCCTACAATCATCTGAGTCCAGTCTCCGATGTTTCTTAGCCAGGATTCCTTCTTTGTTGCCTTTTATTCCAGCCACTCGTCCCTGCGTGATAGTCTGTAGTTAGTACTTATTATTTCATAGAATATAACCAAGATAAGCTGTTTTTCTTAGTTTGATCGTAATCACTAATTTCCTTTCTTGTCCTATTCTTCTTAACACTTCCTCATTAGTAATTCTAGCAGGCCAGGGTATTTTTAAGGTTATGCGATACAGCCACATTTCAAGACTCTAATTTCTTTTTGGTTTGAGCCTTGAAAGTTCAAGTTTTAGTTTAAAGCACATATTTTTGAATAGTGTCTTAAATCTTAAGAAAGACTGCCTCGCAATTTCGATTCTTATTTCGTGATCTTGGTCTAGGTCTGAAGTTATGTAAGTTCCTAGATATTTATATTTTTCAACGCGCTCTACGGGTTTCTACAGCTGTCCTCGATTGACTGGGTTTTTCGAGACAATCATGAATTCAGTTTTTACATTATTTATTGTAAGTCCCATTTTAATGCTTTCGTTATCGATCCTGTTCACCAAGAATTGTCTTCCAGGGACTGCTGTATCGTCCGCGTATTATTAAGTATGTTGTTGAGTGTGATTATATTTTCATCTTTCGGTGATTTGAGAAGTTCAATTTGTATCTCATCTCGACCTGGAGTCTTTTTGTTTTTACATTTTTTTTGGGAGTGCTTGATTCCAGAGGTATCTCTAAGACTTCGCGTTGTTCGTCTTAGTTTGTTCTGTCTGTACAATTGATTCAATTGTACTCATCCAATATTTTTTTTATATCATTCTGTTCCAAAAGTAAATTGTCTCTCGTTCTACAGAGTATTTTTTTCTCGACGTTACCAGTTCTTTCTTTTATTTTCCTGTACAAACCGAATGTATCATGATTCTTCTGTAATTCTTCAATTTCTGTGCATTGTTTCTTCATCCAGTCCTCCTTGGCCTTTTTGATTTCACGTTTAATTCTTTTATCAATGGCATTATATTGTCCTTAATCGATGTTTTTATATTTTCGTCTTTCTTCAATGAGCACAAAGATTTCATCAGTCATCCAATTTTTCTTTCGTTTTAATGGAAGGTCCCCGAGCACTTCTCCTGATCGTAGTAAAGCTCTTTCTATATCTTCCCAGTTGTTCGTTCCTGTTAGTCTGTTCTGAAGGTTTTCATTAAATCTGTGTTTGGTTTAATCTTTTTCAACATACATCCGTGCGGTTTCTTGTACTTTTTGCTGCCTTTTCAGCCGTAATTTTACATTTGCTAGCAACGGGTTATGATCTGTGTTTCCATCTGTACTTGTTGACTAGCATAAAGTCAATCTGGTTCTGTTTTCACTTCGCTTCGTTATCATCAGGCACGAATATCTAGGATGAAGGTCATAGAATGAATTTGTTACTACTAAGTCATTCTCTTGGCAGTACTCCACCAATCTGTCTCTTCATTCGTTCCTTGTGTACAATCAGAAATTGCCCACGTTATGGATCACTTTTCCTTTTCCTATTTTTGCGTTAAAGTCGCCCATGATTATAGTTATTTCACGTTTCTTTAAATTTCTTGTCAAGTGGCCCAAGACTAAATAATCCAAAAATGGCCAATCCTAAGATCCCGATTTTTAATCTTTGCCTGTCTCATGTTATTAATGTCAATTTCCATGCCTGATATAGTGTCCTAAAATTCCACTTTGCAATTCTTTTTAAAACACTATTTGTCTTCCACCCGGGGACTCTTCACGTCCCTATCCCATTCAAGGGACGCCGGAAACTTGGGGGTGTTGCTTGATTTTTATTCATTGCCATAGTAGTTTTTCTTGAGAGTGCTTTCCCCTTGCCTTCTGCATCGCAATTTAATATCCGATACTGTTGTCTATGTTACAGTCGCATATTAATATCTAGTAATGAAACCTACCGCAGCGCTTCTTCTACGCTTTATCCTAGTTTTGAAAACGCCGCTGTCCGTTTGCAAGATCTAGATCTAGATCTAGCCGATGTGTTTATGAATTTTCAGAATGGTGATACCACAAATACAAAAATACACAAATACATAAAAATATACTATGGCGTTCCCAAGAAAAATGAAATATTATAACGGTTTCGAAAACAAAATGCCAAAATAGATTTCTATATTTTCAGTTTAAAATTAATTGGTATAGCTCTAAAAACAGAAAATATTAGGTATTAATTTAGTTAATTATCTATGATCTCAAAAAAAATTGTACACGGTGAACCAATTGTACCAAGAAAGTAGAATTGGTAACAGTTTATATCACATATAAAACAGCATAGATGTTATTAAACACTGGTCTATTTAATAATTAAAAACATTGACAAGCGCAAAAATTACTCATTTATCGACAATATGTAAACCATGGAATGCAGCATCAACGTACCAAAAATCATAACGAATTAGAACACAATTGCAAAAGGATTTTGTTGAACAAAATAGACACAGAATTAAAAGTAATGAATGTCGACGCTTCGCTGTTTAAAATTCGAAACCCACATGAAGCGATTTGAAACGAAAAGCTAACATTCATTAAAAGCGCTTTTAGCAGCATTATTCGACTTCTTTCTTCATACCTTTCAAATTATAGTTCAAAAAATTCAAACATTGTTTTATATTAGGTGATTCCGTTAAAAAAAAAAGTTGCTCAGATATAATTTATACATATATAACGCATTATTTGGAAAACACTACAACACGAATCTTCTCCCTGACACTATATGATCCATTCAACATAACCTCTCGTCGAAAATCAAGCCCAATTGCTTAATTTGGGTACAATATCCCTTTGTCCGCATGTTTTTTTTACATCTACAAAATGTTAATGTATTATTTCATTCTAAAATAGCAGATATTAAAAAATATATATTCTTGAGATTTATTTTGTAGCAGCTTAGGATCATTCAATATCCACCATATCACTTAAACAATAGGAGATGGAAAAAAATTATGTTTAGCAAATATTATTATGCACCTGATTTTCCCAAAGTTAACTGTGATATATACGATACAAAAATTGACCTAAAACTGTCTTCTGAGATACCCATTAGTTTGCAAATACGACATTGATCAACCAACTCCCGATTCCAACTCTTTAATATATTGCCTTTTTTCAGTACTTACCACAATCAATAAAATCGACATCAGCATAGCCTCCCGCCGCAAGCAACACACAACTGAAAAGTACATTCCTAATAAACAGACTAGCCATCTTCGACGGAACGTTACCTGAGGATGGTAAACTTTTTCAAGTTTAATTTGTCCACCGCACGTAAATTGCCTTATCAATTTTTTAATAAGGTGATACCGAATCTGCCGGCACAATTAACACCTTTTTAAATCCACGAATTTAACTGAAAAAATCTTGGTATCAGTAGTCTGACATTTGAAATTAGGTATAATCTATATCTAATACATCACCGTCTCAAGTGTATTCGTATCGAAAAATGGAAAGAGTACTTCTCACAAAACAAAATCTCACCTTTGGAAAGAGCAAACAGTAAAAATAAATGATATGACAATGCATAAATGGCAGGGAACTGAATTCAGATCTTCCGATTTATAATACCCACATATTTTCGCTGCCTCCTTTCAAAGGGCCCTGTACTCTCCAGGAAGTATAGTACTTCTTTCATAAGAAATTTGGATAGTTCCTGGTCTTAAATGAATTGGGCTCTTCCATTGAAGAGTAAACTGCCTCCCGAGACATTCATTCAACTCGCTCTTCAGCACACTGTACTGATATACCATCGGAAGGGTGCGGTCCAAGATATAGCATTACCGCCGCATTCCCGGCCAGCTGTCAGCCATCTCGTTCCCTCAATAGCAACATAAGCGGGTATTCAGGCGTACATCCCGCCAGTCTTGCTAATGTTTCGCCGTAGTTCAGGCTCACCATCACAGAGGACAGCCGCTCAACCATTGCTACAAATATGCCTTGTCTCAGTACACTCTGTAGAGGTGAGCATACAATAACATCGCATAAATCTTTGCTTGGAATACACTAGGGTAGATCCCCAGAGGTACAGACATCAATGTCCTAGGAGAGTCGTCATGTATATACCAGCTCCTGTTGTTTGGACCCATCTCGCCCGTGGGGCATAAGAATATTTTATATCGTACAAAGGCATCGCACCGTCATTTTTAGAGCTCAATGCTGTCCCTCTTTATAGAAAGGACATCGTGATTCCTGCTTGAGACAGATACTAGTTGGGTTCTATGGGCCTCGAGACCCACCTTAAGGTGTAGAAGCTTGAATCTTAGGGCCCAATCTTTGCGCTCGTCCTACAGTTGCCCTTATATATTGTCTCTCATTAGAGTGCCACCATACCAAGACAGCGCAGATAATAAGCTACGCCTATCCAGAATATGATTTGTGGCTTCAATCTCCAGTGGTGTCCCGAGAGGAACATCCACAAAAATGCGCACGTCTTTGAGCTTACTTCATTGAATTGGCCCGTCTAGGACAGCTTAGAGCCAAGAGTCACTCCCAGATACTTCACTGTCCGAACCGGTTTCAACGTCACGGCCGACAGAACAGTTCTTTGTGAACAGAAATAGCACCATTTTTGTCGGATTTACCAACAAACCTCTTGGTTCACACCGTAATAGTTCGATAGGCAGTCCTTTGCATGAGTTTTTTTTGTAACCTTAAAATGGGAGATTTTGTCTGGGAGTGAATATGTATTACGGTTCGCGATGACTTTGTTCCGGGACTATTGCCGACCATGCAGAGTATATAAAGCAGGAATTACTTCTCATGTTGGCCGATAGGCAAGCATTTTTCCTGCTATGAGGATACGTGAATAGAGTAGTTTCGAGTGAAAAGATATAAACTTCTGTCATATCTCTACATAAGCAAAAGCATGCTTTTAAACATAACATAGGTATCGGTACGGGGTGGATTGTTTATTATAGGATGATACCTTATCTCAAAAGGGCAAGCCAATTATATAGTGTTGTTGCTGAGGGTACGAGGAATCCGGAGCCAAGCCGTCAGCCCAAAGTTGATAAGTAAAAAGTTGCAGGACCTTAAAGTATCAATTTAAGTAACTTCAAAACTTTCTAAGGGTTTGGATGCATCTAATTCAGGATAACACAACAAAACTATTTTATTCAACCGAATTTTTCAACAAAAAATACATAGCTTTTAAATAAATTAATTAAAAGTGTGAAGCAATATGCTATTATGAACTTATATTTCTTATTTATAATTCAATGGAATAATTACAGTGGTTGCTAATACTGTAACTTAGATATTAACAATTACAAAAATACTATAGAAAATATTAGCTTGCTTCCCAGTTACAGAACAAAATGAGGTGCGATAATTTTCATACTTTTGGATTGTAATAAAATAAAATAAATATTTTGATTCGGTTGGTTAAATTTAACATTTAAAAGGCCATACAATAAGTAAAATTCTCCTAAAACAATTTTGTCAAAAAAGTAAGGATTCTATTCCTCCTTTGTCCAACTTTGACCACCAGTATCTCGAAACTTGCATTGGGCCCATGAAAACATTTGTTCAGAGCGCCAACAACTACAGGATATTAATGTTTTTAAAAAGTTGGACGAAATTCATTTTGCAAAAAGGTAAGTGAAGGGTGCTTTTTAATTCACATCTGGCATTTACGAAATGTTATAATGAAATATTTCAAAATTTAGTTGCTAAATCACCATAACCAAGTAAATAAAGTGATCCAGCAAGTTGGCAACGGTGCCCTTGATCTTCCGCTTCTGGCTTTTTACAAGCAATCTAGTGTTGAATTACGGAATAAGTACAAGAATTGCCAGAACTGCACTAGTAATATAATTATTGCAAAGTATTTCAAAAGACTAGCGGCCGCTGACGGCCCCTTCTGCCATTTCCTGCACTTTTTTGTCTACAATCTCGTAATATCATCTAGCAAATTTTCATCAACTTATCATGTGTTTTCTGTCAAAAAAATGCATTTTACTATTACCTAGTCTTATTTTTCAAGAGTGCGACCCGCCTCATGTTTTGTCGGTAACAACCAAACCGTAAATGATCAATCATCAATTCAAATCTAGACATTTCCAGTTTTTACATAAAACGTGAATCGATTTAACAATTTGAAAGTTTTAAACAATAAATTTAGTCTAAACTGGAATGCGTCCGGTAATACAGCTAATATCGAGCGTGTGAGGTATACATATATACAAATGTATCAGCTTATTGGGAAAACCTTTCTTTAGTTTATAGTCATCTATAATTCAATAATAAAAGGGGTTAGAATTTTTTCTGGATTTTGCCCTATAGTTTGGTGAAAAATATCCAGATGAAGTTTTTTTTTTGAAGTAAGATAACATAATAAAGACTTCAGTGTGTTCATAATACAATATATACAGGGTGTCTCATGATTGATGGTTCATTAGTGCCTTTTGGAAAACGGGACTTAGAAACTAGCTGTCATATTGGTAGAATAACTCAATTTTGTCTCCACACAGTGTTATATGAGTTTGAGCTTGCTGTATCGAAATATGACATGAAAATACAGTTATATAAGAGTTTTGTTGTCTCTGGTTTGTCTTACTGCAATATTGCAATTAACGGCTATGGAAAATTCAGAATACTTACTGTCGCTTTATTTCTAACTTCGCAAATTTGACCACGTATACTATTACTATTACTATTGTTAATATTTTTATTACTATCTTTTTTTTAAGGAATTGGAAGTGAAATCCTTTACGGACGCCCTGCGTGGCAAACGCACGGAAGTGTGGGACTGCCTCGTAAATTGTGCAATTCAGGTTTCCACCCTCAATTTACAGCATCGGCCCTTAGCTGTTAATCTCTTTAATCTCTATTTCCATTCACACATATGTTCCTCGTATAGTCTAGTATTTTCTATATATTGTTAAACATGCTGAGCTCTTTTAAGTATGTCAATATATGTTTAATCTGTTCTTTCTTCAAGCTGCCTTCAAAAATCTGTTGTTCTCTTTGTGAACTATATATTGGACACTCACTGATTATGTGAACGACGGTAAATATACCTCACACATATGACACTTAGGAGGACGTTCACCGTAAAGGAGATGTTTGTGGGTAAGGTTTGTGTGTGCTGTAGATACTCTAAAAGCTCATACTACTTCAAGTCTTGTTTTTTCGAAGCAAGGTGTTACATTCAATCCAGATGCTTTGCCAGTATTGACGAATTTATTTGCAGTTGTCACCTCATCATTATCATCTATCAGTTCTCTTGGTAGGTTAACTTCAATTTTCTTTAGATACTCTCTATATCTCACTGCTAAAGGACGTGTAATACTTCGACTGAAGTAGGCAAGAATTTATTGTTCCGGTTTTTTTATATGCTTTTACAGTCGTTACATATGTTGTCATTTTTGTTTATCTTCGTAGGTTTAGTGGCATTAATTCAGATCCACAGTAGAGGCTCTGGACTGGTGTTGTTGGAGAAGCACCCAGGCATCCAAATTTTGAATACGATCTAGTAGATCTAACAAGCTTTTTATCGCAGATGAATAAACGACACAGCGATAGTCAATTTCTGACAGAATGAGAGCTTTGTAGATTTAAAGTAAACTTATCGGATCGGCTCCCCATTTTGTGTGTTATAAAAGTTTCAGGATATGTTTCTCTGTTTCAAGCTTCTTCTTTTTTACCACTGCAGAAGGCTGCTATATCATTTAGATATATACACTTTTTTATTTTTGGATCTATACTTCTACATATATCATTTATTGCAATGGCAAATAACGTACAGCTTAGTGTTGATCCTTGTGGTATGCCATTCTCCAATACTCTAGATGTAGAGTAAGTATCATAATCTCCGACCGTGAAGTTTCTGTTTGAAAGAAACGACTTAATAAATAACGGAAGTCTGCCTTTTAGACCTAGTTTTTTGAGTTCTTTTAGTACTGCGAAACGCCACATCATGTCGAAAGCTTTTTTTATACCAAACAATACATCAGTATTGTTTGGTACGAAAGGTACGAAAAAGAGAGCACTTGGTGTCAACCAAGTCCTCCCTTTTTCTGAAAGCTTCCTCTATATGATGTTCAAGCAGTACAAGGTAAGCAATTGCCAATTGTTTCTATATCCTGCTTGGTAAGAGACAAATAAATTGTTACTCTCTAGGTAGTTCTGAAGTCTGTTGTTTACCATTCTCCAAAGTAGTTTTGCAATGCAGCAGGTTAAGCTGAGAGTTATAATTTATTTTTATTTAATTTAGGGACGGGAACCACTATTGCTTCTATCCAGGAGTTGGGGTAAACATTCTCATTAAAGAGTTTATTGTACAATTCAAGCAGTGCTTCTTTGGCATTTAATGAAAAAAAATGCTGCATATCATTAGAAACGGTGTGCTCCGTGTCTGTCTGCATTGTTTGAGTGCTTATTTATATCCTCTGTTATAAAGGGCATATTGGATTCGCACAACTCATTTTCAGAAAAGTCTAAGTCTCTTTCTTGACTGACTTTTAATTGCAGGAAATTGGGATCATAATTTGAGGTGTTATTGACTGTTTCAAAATAGGACGTTATTGTTTCTACTATGACCGTATCTTGCGTTGTGAGTCCAGCTTCAATTCGAATTGATTTGTTAATGATGGTTGAATTAAGTCCCGAGACTTTTTTATATACCAGTAAATTTGAAAATATCGAATAGAAAAGATTCTATTTCCAGTATGTATTCTTCTTTAAGATGGTCTTATGAATACTTACTGACTTACTCAGACAGTAGAAAAAAACGATTTCTTTTTGCCTTATTAATTTTTAATTTTCATTATTAGTATTTAAGGAATTATCAACAAACATATAAATAACCAAGACCAAGTGCGCAAGTCGCAATCGACGCAAAATTACGAAATCAGGTGAATGAGATAGGAATAATTCATTTATTAGGAATATGAATTTATACATGTGCCTACAACTAATCTTATTATCAAAATAATGCTAATGCAATAAACCATCTTACATATTAAAAAAGAAGAAGAAAATAAAAACTTTATGGTATGTCTAAAAAGTATGGAAACAGTAAAATACATCGAGAACAATAGCAAAAAAACCCTTCTTCATTTGAATTTGTAGATTGACCTGACTTTGTATACAAAATGCATAATAGTTTCCGACATATTTCGACTTTTTAGACTCCTATACATATGCTTAATTGCTATTTTAATATAACCAAAACATATTGAAACTCAATAAATTTATGGCAAAGGTTCATCTAGTTCTATACAGCGTAAAACGTGGTTTTCCACTGCCTGGAGCGTGTAGAACCCAAAATCGCACTTTGGGCATTTAAACACCTTCTGTTGCTTCTGAAAAAGAAAGATTTCGTAACGTAACGTAACGTAAAAAAGGAGACAAATTGCTTTAATACTTTAAGAACTCATGCAAGGGTCAAACTAGTCCTTCGATAGCTGAATCTGTTTTTATTGTAAAGTAAAATAAATCCGAAGTAAATTGTTAAGTGAAATGTCTGTGTATGTGATGACGCTCGGCTGGAGATTCTTCATCCAAAAAACAAAAAAGAAAAAATTGTTGAGTTTCCAAGTTACTGGGGGTATTAATATAAAAAAAAAAATTTTGCAATATATTAACCATGTTGAAATGAAAATGAAATGAATGAAGATGATAAACTTATTGCTAGAAAAATCCTTCCTTTCAAATCAGATTAACCTTAGATTGTCAGTGTGATAAAACAAATATTAAAACTTGCAAAAAATTTATTTAAAAAATAGCATATTAATTCAGACCAATAAAAAGTAGCAAATTCTGCCGAAGTCGTTGTATACACGTTATTCTTAAATAAACTAAAAACTAAAATTCTTAAATAAACTATTAATGCGCTTAGCTGCTACTTTTTGCTTACAATGCCACACCCGTAATTTAGACAAAGGGTAATCCTATTTTAATGCAACTGGAAGTCGGGCAACTTCTTTAATTATTTTTTTATTCTTATTTTGTTATCTAATGAGTGATCCTAGAATTTAAAAAACCATATATTTATCATAAAAATTAATTACATATTAGTTTAGAAAATACAGATTATAAAAAGTTCCAATTACAGAGTTTTCCTTCGGTACACTTGTAAAAGCTGTTTTGAATAGAATTTTTTTTTGGTATGAATAAATTTACAATCAATACTTTTGTGTCTTGCTGGGGAGAAGATCCCGTATCATCTGCTCACCGAGTGCCCTGCTTTGACATGGGCAAGATTTGGAGTCTTCGGACGGCCCTGATCAATTCAGACTCAGTGCACGGTATTGGGCTAAAGGAGTTGCTGACCTTCTATAGGAGGGGCAGAATTCTGGACGCCCTCTAGAGCGATCGGGGGGGCACAACTGGTAGGCTAAGTGCTTGGACGCCCGCGGGAGCACCCCATTTTAAATCCAATACCAATACCAATTTGTGTCTTGTTTTAGATTATTATATTAACTTACTAGGCTGTTTTACTACTTGAACTTCTTAAAACTCTTTAAGGAATACCCTGAGACAACCTGTATAGTGTCATTAATATCTGTGCTGATATTAATTTGTTACATTTACACTGGAGACACATTCCATGTATGTTCAAAATGGAGCATTTCCGGACCTACATGCACATGCACTTTTTCTCTTTTTTTGACCATGAATCTCCAGATGGTGCATGTTTATTCAAACACCTTGAATATTTAACAAAATCCAACAAACCTACTGCAGAAACAATAGATTAACACATGTTTTCCATTGACAATTTGCTTTTTTTTTGTCAATACCACCTTGCCAATAGTTTTTTATTTTAATTAACTCGCTGTCCTAACGATAGTACGTACCGAAAGAAAGTGCAATTTCTCGGACATCCGAATGCATAAGAAAAACTAATCATAATAGATGTTCAAATGGCCTTCAGCAAAATCGAAGTTCACAGTTTACTGCTGTTTTTATTCACTCAGATCAGTGAGGATTCGACAATCATTCTGAACGACAAAAATTTTTATGTCGAATAAAATTATCTACAAAAACATTTGCTTTTGTTATTCAGACGAAGAGGAATACCCAAAACCAATCTAAATGAAAATATATTTTTTTAAATGAGTCAAAATTTAAATTGGTCAAGTTTAACCAAAGGTTCTAAAGTTTAAAAAAATCTTGGTAAATTATGACCTAACTTTTTCCATGTCCATTCAAGGAGGACATCTTATTTCAAAGTTCAAGTCGCTACATAACTGTTATTCTTTAAAGTTAAAATGGTCATTATCGACCAATAACGTTTTGTGTCACTCTAATTTTTAATTTCAATAAAAAGTTATACGCTCAAGACAATGCATAAACGTATTGCAAACGCGGATTCAATATACTGTGTCCCAGTATTAAGGAATTAGCGAATTTGAAAACAAAAGATGAAGAGAAATTGCTCAAACACGCCACAGCATTTTCCTTTCAGAGAAAAACTTTAGCAAAAAGATTGATTTACAAGTTGTCTAAACTTTAAAACAGTACTTGTTTTAACAACAGTTAGAAGAATTTGAAGAAAGTGGATTTGAAAAACAGAAACTCGAAAATAATTTTGGGCATTTTCTCTTAACCAAATTACTTAATAATTATTTTTTAATTTCGTGGACCGTCCGTTTCCCTAATAACTGAGATACCCCGTAGCTTATACCACATGCCTAAAAGCAATCATCTCGACAATAACTTTTTATGAGCAGCTTTGTAAGAACTTTTTCTTTTTTTTTTCTAGGTAACAATTAATACAAACTAGTCATGAACATATTAAATCATCACTTCCATTTAAAGTCAAGATAAAAGAAAAAGCTATTTTAAAAACAAACCAAAACTTCCTACCAGAGATGACACACAGAGGTTTCTAGATGATCCTGGACAAGCCGCACGGATCGAAATTTCATATTGCATATGGGACAATAGTATCTGCTGGCTGTTGGCGACTGTATGGGGGAAAAAATCACATTATCAAACTCCACGATATACAAGGGAACCAATATTAGCAAAATTTTGTTTCAAAGAAACTGAAACTAGCATAACACTTATACATGGTGTCTCGTAAAATATGGGCCCTCTGCATTTAGTTTAAATTATTTGTAGTTATTTTAGAAACTATTCTTGCTTCTTCTTGATTCAGATATCGGGCCCTTTTGAAACTGTTACATTCATCATACTCTTCATCTTTGCTAATTGAAAACTTTTCAAAAAATTAATAACTGCTTTTCATAAAACTGTTAATTCTGTACCACTGGCAGGATAGATACACGGGGCCAGATACACCACATAATTTATTTTCAGGTCTCACTTATGTAACCTCTGGAGCTCTACAAGGGGACCATTTGGCTCTCTTATATTTAATATATTTACTAATGCATAGACAGTTTTGTTGGTTTGTCTATAGCAAGATATGGTTATTTGATGGTGTATAACCCTGTTTTAACAACAATAGGATGCGTTAAAATGTAAATAAATGAAAGAATATGCAATTCAATTTTAGCTCATTCTTACTTATTAGATCCATCATCCAGATATATTAATTAACAGCAAGCTGATATTTTCTGACTATATTGATTGGGTTTTTTATCAACGGGCTTTCAAAATGCTTGAATTTATGACAAAAGAAAAGGCATACACAAGACTTTCTATCTACTAATGCATTGTGGTTTTCATCTTTCCCCTGTTTATGTAGCCACTTAGGAGGATTTTATAATAATCAAGAGACTTTACGGCCTAGTATGTCCTAGTGACCATAAATTTGATTTAAAATTATTGTTAAACAACCTAATTGACGAGGCTAGAAAATGCACTTGAAACACAACGAAAAAGGCGGCTGTTGTGCAAAAATAATGCAGACAAGATGTATACCGCGAAATTTAGTGCGGGAGAAAAAATAGTTTACTGCACCAACAAGAAATTCAGAAATACAAAGTGAATAATGTTGCAGCTCAAATGAGATCAGATATAGTTGCCTAACTTCAGTTGCCTACGAGACAAGGAATAAGCATGCCTATCCAAAACTATGATTGATGGAATGCCAGCAGTACTGTCTAATGATGAACCTGCAGGAGCCTTATCGAACATGGAAACATCCTCAGAAATAGAGCAGAAATCAGCATAGATAGAACCAAAAAAGTGTTTCAAAAGTGTAATACTGAGAACAGCAAAACAGTGGGAGATAAGCAAAATAATCAGATCCAGTCAAGGAGCATTTTTTGTACATAGGTATTCATAAAGTAAATCATGGTTTTTTGACTTTACCAATGAAAAAAAAAAAGTAAATTAATAACATACGCAAATTTATTTTATTGCTAGTTGTCCGACCTGGGGCCGACAGACGAGAAATAAAATATTTGCCTGTCTAAAAATAATATCTGATAAAACCCGTAACTAGTATCACATAGATAAAAATGTTTGCGTGCTTGTATAACTGCTAGCTGGTGGGAAGGTGGCTATACGAATTCTGACGTCATGACCAATGAGAGCGCTTTTAGCGAATTTGAACAAAAAAGCACACTTCTTCTCGTTTTCCTCGCTGAAACTGGCGCATTCAAATTGTTTAACATTCACTGGATTTTCAAGTTTATGTTGACAGAGTAGAAAGAATTCAGCGAAAATTCATAAGATGTATTACACTTAAATTAGAACTACCCTCTGTCTCTTGGATTGTTTAGGACTTCTTCAGAACAATGACGGAGACACTCGCAAGAAGTCGCAACACTCATATTTGTATGGTCTGAAATCTCTATGACTGGGTGTGTCCTACTTTAATTTTTTAATAACGACCCGTGACAAATATATATGACGAACAATGTTCAACTCACATGCAAGGTGCAAAAATAACTTTAGTGTTTAATTTTTTTGGATAGGAATTAAATTTGAATACTTCATCTGGTATTACTTATAGTATTATATCTAATATCAAGTAAATTATAATAATAGCTAAATATATCTCAATCAGATTATTTTAATCCAAAAATTATACTAACAACGTATGGCAGTTTACCAGACACCTTGTATATATAGAAAGGCCTACTGATTCATTATCGATGGTAGGTTAGACATTTATGGAGAACCAAAAATGCATAATTTTTACAAAACTTCTGGATTCCTCCTGCGTCGGTTTTTGCAGACGTTTCGCCAAACATCCTGTTGGCTTCTTCAGAGCTTGACTGAAACTGCTGATGAAGCCAATAGGAGGAATCCAGAAGTTTTGTAAAAAGTATTACTGTAGCCTGTGGAAGTCCCTTTGAAAAATGAACCAAAAATGCTTTTTTTTTTAGTTTAGGTACTTGGATTCTCCGATCTGCTCTAATAAACGAAAATTTTTTGAAAACCGAGATTGGCATGGGTATTAAGCAAAAATAATCACAAAACAACAATGACTAATAAAATAAGATGTTATTTAAGATACCCCGGTTGTCATTATTGTTAAAAGCAGCAACTTCAGCCAAAAATCTAAGTACCCAAATTGTATTGTAATTGTAAGTTGTATTGTATTGTACGGATGAATTAAACGTTACATGAAATTTAAGTGTGGTTCGACGTGAAAATGTGCCAATTTGCGTAAAACCCCGCTAGGAACGAAGGTAGACGCTCCCTTTTTTGGTGGTCATTAATCGGTCGCGCAAGTAGACACCAGTTTTGGCACACACATTTTGAAAAAAAATAAATCTATTTTTTGTTGTCAATAAATCTCTTGGCCATCAATCACCCGGTGTATTTACGAGACTTACATTGTTTCCCCAGTGCGACTGCTGACTGCGAAGTGTCGTTGAAGGCGCGTTAGCTAAAGCCTGTTCTCGCAACAATTCCACTTCCTCCTGCAACTGCTGATTACGTCGATGCAAAGCTTGCAAATCTTCAGTTAGCTTCATTTTTTCCCTATTGATAGCGTTTTTTGATTCGCGTTCGGACTCAAAATCGCTTTTGTACAATTCGGCCTGCAACAGCCTGTAAAGCAAGGAATGATCCAAAAAATTACTGACCCATTACCTGAGTCTTGAAAGCGTACAGATCGTCGGGATTATACGATCCTTTATTTTCCAACTCGCACCTCAACTCCTCAACCTGGTTGGTCAGAGTTTCGATCTGTTGATTGGCCGCCACCCTGCCATGCTCATAGTGTGTTAAAACCATTTGGGATTGCTGCAGCTGATGTCTAAGATGTGCCAACTCTTCATAGCTGGCAGCGACGACCGCAGGTTGATTATAAACGTGGGTTTGAGCCTGTACTTTTTCCGTTTCTCTAGATTTGACCCTCCAAACCTCAATTTTGGCCTAATAGTACAAAAACCATGGCTCAAAAATTAAATTACACATTAAATACTTAAAACGAAGTTTTTGATTTGTAAATCTCAGACGGTTTTCAAGTATTCCAATGGTTGATTCATGGTCTTGCAAATAAACAATTTTTAACCAAACCTTTTTGGAGGCACATTTTATGTGTTATTATGTGCCATTAAGTAGGATTGGACATTTTGGTCTAAATTCCAACAACTTTTCATTAATAAATTTTGTACTTTATTTACGGAGGAGAAGCTTTAATTGCAAATATTCTTAACTGCGCCCATGAAAACGCCAATCCAAAAATGTTGAGTAAGCTTACTTGATCTCTTAGTTATGTTAGTTTTGGATAGTTTTTCCGTAACTAGTCTTATAGTGCGATAATTTTATTCAAAATAAATCTAAATTTTCAAATCGCCTGACTTTTTTAAGGTTTTCATGAGCTTTAAAATATATATCATTATTACCCCTGCCCACCAGGTTTAATTAACTCGTTTGCATATTTTTGCTCTTTTTTATTTTTTGACAGCAATTGTGATTTTTAAGATATATTTAATTATAAAAACGACATAATAAAGAAAGAAATAGAAAGAAAATATTATTACTATTATCAATTTTTAATAAATGCAAATATAAACTTAAATATTTCAAAACACATATATGCATAGCTTATTCATTTTTTTTAACAACTTTAGGGGCCATAATATTAGTATTAATAGCATTTATATTATGCTAGATGTCTTGACTAAAAAGGAAAAAATAAAGAAACAAAGTTCTTTATAAATATTTAAAGCTGTCTTTGTTCTCGGTTTAAAATGTAATGAAAGTGATATAACGATAAAATTTGGGATATTAACAGTAATAATAGGACACTCCTTTTTCTGCATATTCTGGATTCTGGATAGGACACTCCTTTTTCTGGATATTCTGGTATACCGTTTTTATGTACAAAATTATAAAAATACAAGAGTCAATAAATGCACAGTGGATAACTGTATATTACTAGAAAGTATTATCTTCACCAACTAGACCTTTAAAATACATTAGTAGTATATTATACAACAAGTGTTTATTTGACACGAGCGGAGCGAGTGTTTAATTAATGAGTGACTTAAAAAGTTTACTGAACATGTTGCATACTGTATTTTTCCTCCCAAACCCTTGCGGTAAAATTCCGGAAATTTCAGAACTCGCTCAAATCCGTGGGAAACGAAACTGAAGTGGTAAAGTGGTGCCCCCGTTAGATCGGTGTTTAATTAGGCATTTTACAGACGGGAGTAGAAAGACGTTTTCAAAATATTTCGAATAATTTCATATTGAGGTTTGGCTTTTCTAATTGACATAGGTTAGGTAAAAATATGATAATACATTATTTAAGACTCATGGCTACCAAATCTTATTTTATTTAGCATATTTATTTGAAAAAATTAAATTTCCAGAAAATGTAGCTCTATAAAGAAGATGAGTATGCACAGCATGGGAACATTGGAAATATTGGAATTCGAAAAATTCTACTCATAGCAATCCATACCCTTTTTATTGGTTATATTTGAATCTTTTTTTATTAATGGAAATGCTATAATCCTTAATACCATGTTTTCAAACGCAATAAGAAACCAAAAAATTGCAGTTGCTTTCCGAAAATAACAAATCAAATAAAAACTCATTGTTGTCACAGTGAGTTAAACTTCAAAGAAAAATGTTGACATCACTGAATTGGGTCAAGAGGAGTGACCAAAACCAAAAAACTAACCAATGCTATTTTCTATAATTCTGACTTTTTTCTAACTTTTGTACAAAACATATTATTGGATTTAAAAATTCACATCTTTTCTTTAGTTTAACTGATCCCTGTAGCTGTTAAAGATCTCCAGGTGGTGCATACTCATCTTAAATATACTACACAAGTACAAACTCACCTCTTCTAATTGTCTTTGTAAATCTTTAACCAATATATCCAATTGATGTTTAGCTTCTTCTACTTGAGATAATTTTCCAACACCATCTTTCTTAACGTTCTCCAATTCAGCAGTCTTGAATTTAACCATTTTCTCCAACTCTATTGTTTTGCCATTAAGAATGTACAAGTCTTGTGTTAAATTAGATACAATTTTATCATGAGCTAGTTGCATCGTTCTAATTTTTTCATTCGCTTCTTCCAAGCACTTCTTGTCCAATTCCACTTTTTCAGTCAACTCAACATTCTCATCAGATATCTTTGCATTTTTTAATTCCGTTTCCAAATCTCTAATTTTTTTGTAAGACTCTTCCAGTAATTTCTCATAATTCAGCAATTTCTGTTCGAACTTAGCAGTCAAGCTATCTTCTTTGCCTTTACCAGCTTCACTTATTGGGATAACATTTTGGGGTTCCAATTCAAGTTCCTTTAGTTTTTTGTTGGCCATGTCTAGTTCAAACTCCTTCATGTTTTTCTCGGTCACTTCTACCAACTTTTGATCCATCTCTTTAGTCTGTCTATTTACAGTTTCTTTAAGTACCATCAGTTCCTCTTTAAGCAGATTATTTTCAGTTTTTAGCTTAAATATATTAGCACCATTAATTTCTTAAAATATTACTGCTTAATATTGCTTTAAAAATATATAACTTACCCCTTCAATGCACTGCTTTGCCTGTAAAAACTTTGCTTTATGGGTTTCATGCACCTTTTGCACTTCATCTTGCCATGCTACAATCCTTTCATATTGCGCCTTCATGCTCATATTATTCTGCATGATTGTTTCTGTTCGAAATCATTTATTATCAATTTATGCCATTCAACTGCCATTCTAAATACCTTACCTTTCAAGCGGATATTTTCATCTATTAATGTAGAAACTTTAACTTGCAATTCTTCGGAAACTAACTCACTGGGTGCAAAGCTAACAATACTGATAGTACCATTAACATCCTAGAAGATGACAGTTTAGATTAAGCAAATTTTTTAACAATAAATCCAAATTCACAATACCTTGGGAATTGTATTTGCAACTTGCGGCATTAAAGGCAAAATTGTTGATTGGTCCAGTTGTGAACATTGACTTTCAGATAAGATAGGATCATTCTTTGATAGAGAAGCCTCCTCCATTCGGGCCAGTTCTTGATTAATTAATTGTTGTGCTCCAGGAATAATACCATCACCAAGGAGATCAATGCCAAGATCTATATAATTATCAATATTTGACCAAGAAGAGTACTCTGTTATCATATTACCAATACTTGTTGCGTCGTCCGAATCGGGAACTAATGAATGTCCAAGAACCACAAATGATTCGTCATCAGAACCAATAATTGATCTTGATATGGATGGAACTGGTGGTGGTTCTGCTGGCATTTGTAATGATTCAGATGAAAAAGGATGTGTACCACTAGTCGCCATTGTCTCAACGAGTTTTAGGGAACAACACAACGCTAAAATTAAACAAAAGCGCAGTCGGGACCTAAAGATTAGCAAGATAGTATGTAATATCAAATTTTTACTGATTAATCATATCACTTACTTTATATATCAGATAACCTCCCTATGTGTCAATTTTTATTTAAAAACAAAAATGAGTTTCACATACCTCTAAAAACACACACACAAAAATCCCATAAAAACAGTACCACATAGAAGCGAAATTGGCCGGTTAGGAGTAAAAATGATCCAACATCACAGAAAATATTTCAAAAAAGAAGAATCAAACATTGACCCATAAACAAATGACTTTTGTTGATTACGTCATCTAGCCAACTCCAAACCAGTTTAATAGGGTATTTGTACAGAAGGATCAAATAGGTTAACTTGCAATATACACTATACAGTGACACAGCTTAAATGATGCAGTCGATATAACAAAAACTAACTGGTCTGAATGTCTCTATTTATTTGGCAAAAAACAACTTATTCAAATTTAGTTGGTGAAGAGCCTTCTAAAAAAGTGAGAAGTGAGAAAACCACCCTGCAAATCCGAAAATTGTAAATACCCCGGCTAGCAGTTTGAACTTTGAACCCAAAGTGCGCAAAAAAATTAGGCGGTCAATTATGACATTTGCCTTACGCAGGCGTGCACAACTGTTTGAGTTGACTAGAGTTGTGTCAATCGCGATTGATTCGGTCACTTTGATTCAATAACTTCATAGGATCAAATGACCGAATTGTCGTAACGATTCGATCACCTTTTTCACCCTCTCTGCAGCCCTGACCGATTACAGGACGACCGATCCACCGACCGCACCAACACAAGTCGAATTCGCCTTACGGAATACGGCATTTGAATGTTTAAGATTGAAATGCATGACAGAAACAGACCACGAAAAAGGGAGTATTGTTATAATTAAATTTATTGTATAGTATTGATTTGCGATATCGATTGGTAGATCTGCTTATGTGTTGAATTGAATGTTGAATGAAATATATATTTCCACGCAGGTATCTAATTTAAACAAATTAATGTATTACTCGTACAACTCAATACGTAGCACCTATTTGGATAAAATTATGACAAAGCACAACACATAACACAGGCAACTATGATTCTAACTCAAAACAGAAAATATAGACACAACAATAATTCAAATTGAAATGAATCTGAATCGATCGTTCGGACTGTTCGAATTTAGTGACTATTGTCGCTTATGGTTTATAGCTTGCAGTTGGCAACAAAAAGTACTGAAATGAATGAGTGGTTAAAAACATTAGTTCATTTTCGAAATCGGTCACTGATTGATTCGCTTGTCGTAAAATGAACGACTGACACAACACTTTTTGTGATAGCCCAACAATACCAGCTGAACAATGTGGTCAACCGTTAAACATCACAGTGAAGAAAAATGATGCCTTCTGTGCTAAATTCGATGCTTGTCATACAAAACTTTCAAAAATTTGGGGTACTACTATATTGGGACAAGAAATTTCTTTGAAACTTTTTATGTAGTTACTGATTAAAACGATGAACCTATCTTTGTAAACGAGAAACTGTTGAGAAACAGCGGAGTCATCCTATTTAGTGACTATTTGCAACAGTTGTGAGAAGGCGTTAAATGTTTGACCAGAATCCAAAGCTGCTATTGGCTATCTGCATTTTAATTGTATAGAAATAGGCAAATATTTGGTTAGTGTTTATTATTTTTATTTATACTATATATTATTTTATATATATACTAATTTAAAAATACATACATGGGAGAAGGAGACTTGGCAACAACGGTGACAAGGCAAACATTTAGCGCTTTCTATGCACGCCTGTAATTTGGTCACAGAATATTACCACGCCTAAACTTGTGATTTTGTATTTACCGGTGTACCATCCCAGAGCCAATGATAATACTAATGTGTGCCTTACTGTTTGTGAAATTCAGCAGTCATACTCTGAAATTCATTTTGTTTTGTCCGTCCATTATTTTAAAGCTTTTTATTGATATCTAATAACCAAACTCATGACGACGACCATTTTAGGTTTCGGTAATCCTTTACTGGATATTTCAGTTTTTTTAAATGACGATTATTTATTAAAAAAATACTCTCTTAAAAAAGATGATCAAAAAGAAATTTGTAAAAGTGATATGATTAGTTTGTACAAAGATATACAGGGGTATGACTTTAAAGTTCTTTATAAAAATTTATCCTGTTATATTCTCGTTACTAGATTGAAACAACACTTATCATCCGGAGGTTGTTGTTCAAATACATTTAGAGTTCTCCAGTGGGTTTTGAAAAAGAAAGCAAATTTATTCCTATATGGAACTGTAGGAAAAGATGAAGAAGCAAATATTTTAAGAGATTCCCTTAAATTGGATGGCGTAAATTCAAGGTACATTGATGAAGATTGTTCTGTAGTTATTTGCAAAAATTTTGTAGATTTAATGAGCATGAAACAATGCCAACAGGAAAAATTATCGCTTTAATCAGTGGACCTTACCGTTCTTTAGTTGCTTATATAGGCGCTGCTGAATTCTTTCCAAAGAATATCTTATGTTCTGATAAAGATTTTATCAATTTGTTCAAATCTAGTGAATTGATTTTCATGGAAGCCTTCTTCCTTACTAACAGAGCTGACGTTGCAAAATATGTGGCGGATTTGTGTAGTATCAATAAAAAAATTTTAGCATTCAATTTATGTGGCGAATATATTTTTAATATTGTTCCAAAAGAGATACTCTATTTAGTAAGGCACTCAGATATTATTTTTGGCAATCAACATGAATTTGAAGCATTGATGAAGCTGCTAAATTATGCAAGTATATCAAACATGATCTCAGAACTTTTGAAGGTCACAGAAGATAAGTTTCAATACAAAAGAATTTTCATAATAACAAATGGACCCAATCCAGTAACATGCTACTATTCCAACGGCGAATGTTTTAAAATGATGCCATCACATTTAAGCGATAAGAACATCGTAGACACTACAGGTGCAGGCGACGCATTTATTGGGGGCTTTTTAGCTGGTATGTTACTGTCAAAGGAAATTAAAGAGTGTGTGAAAATTGGAATTTATGCCTCGGAAAATATTATAAAAGAAATAGGTTGCACACTTCCAAAACATGAAGCAAAAATTCCTTAATTTGTATGTTTATGTACCGTTTCTGAAAAATAAAATGTTGTCAATAAAATTTATTCTTATTTCTAAAATAGATATAAACAAATAAAAAGCTTAAATGTATGGAAAAATAACATTTAGCATGTTGCTCAATATAATCATAAAAGAAAAAAAATCAAGGAAGACGCATTGCTATAAATATGTGCTTTTATCTAAGATCATGTACATGGTGTGAAAAAATTTAGATAAAAGAGTTGTTTGGATTCAGTTTTATACTTCTAAAATATTATATTGTTGGGTCTTATCAAATTTTCAAATTCATTGTAAAGGAGGATCTAGAAATTAAAATTAAAAATAAATCTAGGGTGGTCAAAAACTATAATTAAAAATTTAAATGTTAAACGTTTTTATTTCAAATGGAAGCACCTGATTTTTATATTTTTGTCGTATTTAGCATTAACAAAGAGGTGTAGATTTGGAAATATTTGCAGTTTTCGATAAAAAATAAACAATCGAGCAATAAAGAAACTACTATTTTGACTTTCTATGAGTTTTCCAATTAATGTTTAACCGTTTTATGCCGCCCAACATCATTTTTTTATTGTTATTGTCGATTTATTATTAATTCAAAATATATTTTTTTATAATACTAAAGTAAACAGTAAATACTAGTAATACTAAATGAAACCGCCAACATGCCGGAATGGTAATTAACGAACAATAAAAGGCCAGTGTTGTCGCTAAAAAAAGTTACATCACCAAGTGCTATTTAAGACGTCATTCTGAAAAATATGTTTTTGTGCGTTCGAGAACATCAAGGTTTATTAAAAAAAACACAACGCGTCCTGTTTCAAACTATGAAAATCAATTTGACATCTTACTGTATTGTAAAGAGTGTCCTGAAACTCCCACCCGACAACGAGCGCTAGACTTGAATTTTAACGGAACAACCATTGAAACTGGTTTTGAATTCACTCTAATTTCTTAATAATAGATATATTGAACTCTTAAGCAACGACAGCATCCAACAGCCACCTAGTTGTCCAGACTTGACTCTCGTGGCATCTTAAAAGATACTGTATAAAGCGACAGACCAATAATGACAAAGGAATTGCGGCCCAGAATTCAAGGAGCTAATTTAATACAATTTAAGTTAGGTATGGTTTTAGGAATTAATAATAAAAAACTATTTTCGTTGTTATTAAAAATTAATTATGAATAAGTATATGTTTTAAAGGCTAATAAAAAAATGTCTCATTTCAACTTTTCCGTCATTCGTGTAACACTGTTTCTTTTCGGTTTTTGTATATCTGGATATTTTTCAGCAATATTTAAAAAAAAAATGTTTTACATGATTTGTAGGTGTCATTTCTGTAGTGCTCAATTGTTTTTTTCTGCCATGTTTCGCCGTCATGTTCTTATAAATAAATATAAAAATACTAAACAAAATTGCTTTAGCAAAATCATCGGTAGTGGGGGCAAGTTTGTAGCGCATATATAGCGGTAGGTAGCTTTGTATTTCCAAAAGGAAACCGCATTGCGGTTTCTTGTCATAGAGGGACCCATTGGTTTTCTATAGTTCTCCTGCGGACGACTATGAAACTTTCGCAAAATCGATCTAATTTTGTTGTTTCTTACACCCATAAAGGCAACGACAAACCTTAATAAATTTAAAAAATTGTAAAAGTAATACAATAAATATATAATAAACCTGAAACTCTGTTTTCACACAATTTACGATTCTGTTTAAAAGAAATTATCTCACGTTTTATAGCTTTTCATTAACGTATAATGATTTACCCACGAAAACGGCAATTTTCGTGTACATAATATACATAATGCCGAAAATACAGGTTATAACCCTGGATCTCTCACGTTTCCTGGTCCAAGAATATTTCCAATAGAGTAAATGGATTTCGAGAAAATAATTTTTTTCTGGAACTATGCAGTACATCATGGCGACTGGACTGAGCGCAAGGAATAGCGATTTTCATATGGATTTTTACAAATATCTCGACCAGCATACGTGATAGACGAAAATCGTAAATACAAAAATTATGCGACCTATAACAGTGTTTGAACGGATTAGCCATATTTTTTACTTTAATTTTGATTTACGGATAATAATTTACTCCCAAAAAGAATATTTTTCAGGGTGTTTCAGACTTTTGTCCATAATTAAAGCACCTTGTACGCAAAAGTTATAGCGCCGGATTTCCCACGTATCACCGTTCCAATTTTTTTTCGGATCGGATGAGTGGTTTTGGTGGAAAACATGTTTTTCTGCAACCCGCAATAACCAAAGAAAATTTTTCCAAAATTTTCAGAAAATACTTTGCGGTATTTGATTGCTCCCAACGTAAAGAATATAGATCTGAAGCCTATTACGTTTTTAATATTGAAAAAAATATTGCGAGCACCCTGTACAATAGTTCAAAACCTTAAAATACAAAAATTTATATATCTTAAACACAGTATTTAAATTATAGCCAATTTTCAATAATCGAGAGAAAGAGAAGTTGTCAAAAACGATGACATATATAGGTATATAGGAGTTATGAAATATATCTAGAATGTTCTTAGGAATTCGAAAATGCTTTAATCTAGAGGCTGTTGAATTTAAAATAAAAAAATTGTTGCTTGCCCACGAAAATACAAACATCTTCTATGCATAACGTTATAATATACTATTAAAGGTATAAGTGATGAATTTTCTAACTTTTTTCTCTGATTCTGGAAACTAACCTTAGTACCTGCGATCGGTAACCTAAATGTTGGTTCATTGTATAAATTATTATTTTTCAAATGTTTTATTAGAGATATTTTTATAATATGTTAAAGACAATATCAAAACTTTGTAGTTCCTTTAAAACCATTCATAAATTGTATTACAGTTCTAAGGTGTTACAGAATGTGGACATTGAATATATAAGGAATATTGGTATACTTGCACATATCGATGCCGGTACTAGTTTATTTCAGCTATCAATACTGCTCCATAAATGTTGATATCTTTAGGAAAAACAACGACCACAGAAAGAATGTTGTATTACGCAGGCTTAATTAATGAAATGGGTGAAGTACATCATGGTAACACAGTAACAGATTATATGGACCAAGAAAGGGAACGTGGTATTACAATAACATCAGCTGCGGTAACATTCTATTGGAAAAACAATCAGGTTACTATTATAGATACCCCAGGCCATATAGATTTTACCATGGAAGTTGAACAAACCTTGAATGTACTAGATGGAGCAATTATTATATTAGATGCCTCTGCAGGTTTATCTTAACCATTTCATTGTAATATTTACAAATTAAACTATTTGAAGGCGTTGAGGCCCAGACTTTAATGGTTTGGAGACAAGCAGACAGGCACAAGATTCCAAGAATTATTTATGTTAATAAAATGGACAGGAGTGATGCCAGCGTTCAGATGTGTTGCACATCAATTGAGAAGAAATTAGAGACTCCAACTTTTTTACTGCAGTTGCCCCTAATTGAAAATGGAAAATTTTTAGGTTTGTTTTCAATTTGTTTCTACTTTTTTGGTTAGGTTTTTAATGTATTACTCAAAAATTGTGATTATTTTAGGAATAATAGATTTGGTTTCTATGCAGTTGCTAAAATATAGCAGGAAAGAGAGAAATGTAACTAAGATACTATTATCAGAATCTGAATTTCCTAAATATTGGTGTGATGCTATGAAGGGACGATCTCTTCTGCTTGAAAAATTGGGCGATTTTGATGATGAATTTGCAAATTTGATAATCTCATCTAATTCTTATGACACAATTAGCAGTGTTGATGTTATAAAAGTGTTAAACAAAATTGTGGTTCAAAAGGTTAGTATGTACTTCAGTCTTATCTGACTTCTTAAATTAAAAAAGTATATATGTACTGGTGTTTGTTTATATTTTGCAGCATACCTACAACTTGATCTTCAATAGTTAGAAAAAAACTTTAAATACAAAAGAAGTTGGGATTTTATCTATTATCTTTTGGCACTTACAGAATAGGAAAAAATAAGGTGCAAATCTGTGAAAGTGACATAACTAGGATTGTTTTAAATACCCAGGATATTTTAATTTATTTGAAAACATTTTTATTTTCTGATTTTAAGAGTATAAAATTCGAATATATATAGCTATTTTTCAAATATTATATGTTTGGTGTGGCATGATGATTATAGGTCCTATTAGTTTTGAGGGAAATTATTATTTATTATTATTATTTATTTATCAACGGGCCAACCAGCCAATATAAAATAGGATTCACATAAACAAAATAAAATAAAATAAAACAAAACAAAATTAAAATATAATGAAATAGGTAGATGAAGAACTTACCCTAATATAACAAAAGTTGGTTTTTGAAAATGTTAAATATTGGTATAATTAGTCGACACGACAGTAAGGACACTTATAAGAGTAGCAAGGCACCAACAAAATGGTATACAATACTATTACTTAAGTTCTTTCTTAAATATTCTTGCACTCTGGAACCAGTCAAGTTGGTCAGAAAAGCGATTCGCTAGTGCAGCTGACCTAATAAGAAAAGAACTCTGCCCATAGTTAGTACGATGGAACTCCACCTGGAAGGAGTGGTTTATTCTGGTCTGGCGGGGAGGAACGCGAAGCCCAGTCTTACATAACAGTTCAGGTCCATGGGAATTTGAATGCAGTAGGTTATAAAAAATGGTGGGATCCCTCTGCATGCGACGAATCTGAAGAGTTTTAAGTTGGAGAGAGTTTTCCAATTCAGAGTAATCAACGTCCTCAAGTCCTTGGTGCTCCTTAAATGCTATACACCGCGGGAACCTATGCTGCACTCTTTCTATGGCCTCTATGTGGAAGTTATACGAAGGTGACCACACACAGGAACAATAAAGCACGAGGGAGTAATCTGAGAGACAGAACACTCTGGAAGTCCACTGTACAACGCTTAATAAAGCCCAAAATCTGAAGTGATTTAGACACAATAAATGAAACATGGTGTGTGTAAGTCAACTTAATATTGAGTAATACTCCAAGATCCCTTATTATGGAGGCCTGCAATAACGGGTTCCCTTTTATGTTATACGTAAAATATATGGGGTTTTTGCTCCAGTAGAAGTTCATTTGTTGGCATTTATTAATATTTAGTTAAATTTCATTCAAATTGCTCCATAGAGATATGTGATCTAAATCGGACTGGAGTTTTATACAGTCATCAGCATTATGGACTCTCATAAAATTTTAAGTCGTCAGCAAATAATAGGAAACATGCGTGATGAAAACATAGGGCAGTATCATTCTCTTATACATTGAAATGTAAAATTGAATTAGACACATACATTGTTTCACAATAAAACGAAGTGCTTTTGGAGGAGATTCTTTTGCAATTATTTAATGAACTTATAAGGCCCATAATATAAGTAAAGTAACAAACTCTCTTAACAAGAATTCCGCCTTTGGATTGGCAAATGCGGGATTATACCATAGCTAGGCACTAGCTCTGACCTCAATCCATTAAATATGTTTTATTGGGATTTTAAAAAAAATCTATTTGAAGTAAATCTAGAACTTGTATGTTGAGCATATGGAGTAAAGAAATAAAGGCTATGAAGTTATTACATTAAATAAAATTAATTTATTTTTTATTGTTATTAAAGCTTATTTTTATTGGCAATTTTTTATAAATAATTAATTCAACAATTCACATTCAAGTCACATAAATTTGCAAATAAATGAAGGAATTTGACTTAAGATAATGTAGACAAATTTTATATTCTTGAAATGAAAATGAAAAGTCCTTTTCAAATAAATTAAAACATACTAGGTGTTATATTTAAAACAATAATGTTTTATTATTATTATTTTTATTAAGTTATGTCATTTTGATACATTTGTAACTCAGTTTTTTCTATTCTGTAATTACGAAAAGGTAGTAGATTAAAAATCCTACATCTTTTGTAATTAAAGTCTTTTTCTAACTCTTTTTAGAGGTATTGTGCAAAATATACAGAAACGCCCTGTACAAATTACTGTTTCTCAAGTCAGTCACAGTTGTGGGTTTAAGAACAACTCTCAATCAACAGCACTACTATTGATTTAAAATTGAGGGTTTGGTTAAAGTTGAGTGAGGTTTTTACTTCATAACCAGTATTAGGTTATTCAGTGATTGAAAAAAACACTTTTCTTTTTTTTATTATGGTCTAGGTAGAAATTTTGCTCCAGAATAACAGAAACTTAAATTAGATGTGTGCTGGCAGGACTTGGTGTATGATCTCATCATGACAATTTTCTCCTTGTTATATTAGACAGCAAAACTATTTCTTCAAATTCTGTGTCAAAATCTGACTTAATTGCTGTTCGCACGTCAAAACTGTGAGACTGCACTGCAACTGCACACAACAAAGGACACAAATATATTGAGCCAAAGTCATAATATTACGACAAAGAAACTTAGTTAAATATCATAAACCCAATAGAAATTCTTGTATCTCCAACTCAATTCAATGAGAATTGTGTTGAAAATATGTCTGATGTAATCAGTGAACTCGATCTAGCTTGGAATGGGCAAAGTGAAACAGATTGTACAATAGAAAAAGAGGGCTAGTAATGGAAATTCTTGTCGGCATGGTTCATTCATGGGGTGTTCTGGTTGTTTAATTATTTTGTTTACCACGAAACTTCGCCCTGAAATAATTTACATATTATTTGGTGATCAAACAATTTTCTTTGTATATTTCCAAAAACTAAAATTTATATATAATAATACAATAAATAACTTTTAAAAACCCCACAACCAATTCGCGAGTTATATCTAACGTTTAAAAGAAATTATTAGTAAGAAAATAGCTTCACGTATTTTTTCAGTATTATTTAAAAGGAAACTTAAAATATTTAAATATATATATATATATATATATATATATATATATATATATATATATATATATATATATATATATATATATATATATATATATATTTACATCCGTAATGATATAGCTCGTCCACATGTGGCGCACCAATAGGTCTTCTCCCAGAAGGAGAGTGTATATTTAAATTTTTTGCGCGTATACTGGATAATTGGGAACTATACAAACGTGTTCTGCAAAATAATTGACTATTTATTTTTTCAATTTTCACATATTTTCCAGCGGATGCGTCTTCCTTATCCAACACAGTCAAGAATCCTCCTCATGTATAAATGGATTACATATTCCGAGTATATTTAAATATTTAAATATTACAGATTACGGTGGATAAGTTCACCACCCGCGTTGCCAAATGTCTCAGAATTTGGAACCGTTTATTAGAGCATCGAAGGCGGTTACTTCTGTTTGAAGCTGTGTGCGTCCTTTAATTTTCACGTGTTTTTACGGTTCTGTGCATGTTTCGTAGTAGGAAAATTGTTAGGTAAGTAATTAAAATTTGAGATTGTGATCTCCATTTAGGCATTGCAAATTTGCTATTTTTTGTTGAATGATTTTTATTAAGTAAAAAATATTAATGGGATACTTATTTCAGCATGGCGCGAAGGTTATTTCCTGAAGAATACGCAAGTATTACATTATTGTTAAATATCCATATCTAAATATAACTTTTTATAGTATGCAGTTTGTGGTGCAAACTCAATAAAGAAAAAAAATAGGTGGTTTTGTAACAAACCCCTGGACGAACCATCACCTCTTACACCGAATGCCGTTTCAAAAGATCTTTGCTTTGCTTTCTCTTCCGACACACAGTATGTTTTTATTTATATTTGCGTCTAAGCGATTACTTTTGCTATAGTGTGAAGAAATTAGATTATCAAACCAGCAACCAATGCAGGATTTTGGAGCTTCATATGTTTTTAGGAAAACGAATCCTCTTCTAATTCTTTGCCTTCAAATAATTCCAAAGCAGATCCAGAATATCTTCCTAGTGATAATGAGTCGGTTAGTAACTTATGCTACTTGAAAAACAAAAGGCATGAAATGATATAAATTACTAAAATAAAAAAAAACATATTTTATTTCTTGAAGTTATATGCGCATCTCTACAAATTTTACTTAAAAACTAAGTTACCATCTTCGGAGGAAGATTTATGATATGTTCAACCTTATATAATTAATCTGTTCAGACTTATGTTTCTCCGCTTTTGTTAAAATGGAAACATTTTTTAATGTAATAGGCGCCTTGATTCATTTCTCTACAATAAATAAGCCACGTTGGAGAGCGTTTACTAGAAATAGGCTAAAGGTTTCTCTTTAAAATACACATTAGACAGAGAGCGATAAGAAAATACTGGGAACAATTTTTAATTTGACGTATGAATTTTTTGACTTTTATTGTTGTTTTCTAATAGACCACATCAATTCTCGTAGATGAAATTTTCCTTTTTGCTGGGATATCTAATAAATTTTCTATAATTTCACTAAAATAATTTCACCAAATCCTTCATCTGCGTGAATATTCTCAGAGTGATTATAAATATTCACCAAACTAGCCTGCATACCCTGCTTCCCCGGAGTAATCTGTTACGTTAGATTATTCTGCACTAAAGAAAGTTTTCCTACATCTTTTACAAACAATCAGTTTTATTTAATATTTAAATATTGAAGAATATTGACGTGGAATATTAAGGTTTATTTATACTAAGGCTTGATTAGAAGCATAAAATTTGATAGCGCAACATAGTTTCGAGATAGTGGTCGGTAATGAACGCAGAGGTGGGAATTTGTATGTACTTTTGCTCTTCTTGTCTCCAACTAAAATCTGACTAATTTGTCAATTTGTTTTTGAAGCCACAAGAATCGAATGATTTATGGTGGTACTATAAATTGTCGAATAAATAATATTCATAATTATTCAAT